AATAAACTAGATCACAGAAAACTAGGACCATTCAAGATTGATAAGGTAATAGGGGCCGTTAATTATCGGTTGAAACTACCAGACACGATGAATATTCACCCAGTGTTTCACATATCCTTACTCGAACCAGCACCACCAGGAGCGCCAAGTGCGCCATTTACGGAAATCGAACCAGTTAACCCGAACGCCATATACGATGTCGAAACAATACTAGATTGCAAGTACGTCAGAGGCACAATCAAGTATTTAATCAAATGGTTAGATTATCCACATACCGAGAATTCATGGGAACCAAGAACAAACCTCAACTGCCCTGGGAAGTTGGAGGCGTTCCACCAGCAATACCCGGATTTGCCCAGAAAGAAGGAGAATCCATTGAGGCAAGGATCGAAGGATCCAAAGAAGAAGAATCGAAAGCAAAGGAGTCGTCGCTAGGATCAGCAGTCGAAACAGATGCTTGTTCCCGCTCCTTTTCAACACGTTCATTTTCCAACCTATCCTTTTCCTCAGCTGCATCCAGCTCATCCAAGGTTTTCAGACCACGACGCAACATGGCACCAGCACGGTCACGAAGGGATCGTTGCTGAGTGTCGAGGCGAATCAATTTAGAAAGAGTAGCACGGCGCTCCGTTTCCAGACGTTGTTCCTCGCGCTCCAAAGCATCCCAATCCGAGACAGTGGGAGGAAGAAGGTCACACTTCAGACCAGCTTTAACACACTCACCACAACGACGAGACTCTGACAAAACACGACATTCAAGTTTGCGGGAAGAACAACGAGCACAAGGATCATCCATAATAAAACCTCTTTCTTTGAATTTGGTATACAAGCAAGCACGATTTTCAGTTGATTTGGGAGTCCTAACAACAGGCATTATGAAAGAAAGAAATCAGTCATTACATTATTACAAGAAGTGGGGTAAACACTATAAGTAACGCTTGGGGACAAGCGCTAAGCTAGGAAGGGGATAGTGTTACGATGGTCTGCCACAATAGACGTCACGTGACCCCGACGCTTAGGTAACCGGATCAGAGGGATCATTAGTGATCCAGTTGATCGGATCAGAGGGATCATTTGTGATCCGACTGAGCACAGAGAACGAAGGTCTATATAAAGGAATGGGTTTCATTACAGTGTAGAGCTTCGTGCTCAAGAACAATCATTAGTTTCATTACTATAGTTACGAGAATTGCAACCAGTTACAACCTTATTGAATTCCTACTTGAAGTCTAGTCTAAACCACCTCGAGAGATCTCTAGACACTTCCACGTGACCCTAGAGGCAGCTCCCGTAACAGCGACCACCTGACAGGGTATATATAGTAGATCTACTGTTTTGAAATTTATAATTATTTGTTTTTCCTATTGACTTTAAGTCCTTAATATACTAAGATTAAGATTTCTTATAAAGACCTATAGTTTATTTTTAGTAAGTTCTATTAAAGAATTACGAATGACTTTTATTTAATTTTGAATTTTTATATAAAATCATATATGAAATTAAAAATTCATATCTTAACCCTCGATATCTCAATCTAGAAATAATCTAATAATCTAAGATTTTAATGTATTACTAATATTATTCTAAAAAGATTTATTACTTCTGATTTCTTAAAATAATATTTAGTTTTAATTATAACTATATTTTAATAAAATTAAAAGAAAATATAATTAAAGATTATTGTTCCTAGGTAATTTTATTGAGGAAACACTTAGAATACTCAAAATCTCAAAATTTCTAAAATCTCATCGTTCTTCTCATTTAATTCTTGAATAAAAGGAGCAGACGACAGGGGTGGGAGGGATACCTCTCAACTAACCTGAGCATTCAATACATGTGATAAGGATTATACTAGTGCCGGATGTATACAAGAACGGAATACAGAAGAACTTGATTATATTAAACTGAAATTTTCGACTAATGAAATCCAGTATAAAGAAGATTCCGATATAAAAAATAATGGCTTAAGCTTTCTAATCAAAATTTATATCTGATTTCAACTCTAAACTCTAATATTTTCGAGAAAATATTATATGATAATAGCCTTTCAAGCTTATTTATCCAAAATATAGCTTATTCAGCTAGATTGATCATTAAATTTTATACCAGAATTTAATCAATTTAGTTCGATATACTAGTTTTCATCGAAATTCCAATATTCCCATATAAATTTAAGAAAAAAAGGAAAAAAAGTCTGGTATATTCAAGTTTCCGGTATATCCCAGTCCGGTATAGCTAAGTTTTTCTGTAGGCTGGATGTATGACTTTACAATACGAGATACAATACAACTCCCTTTTATATACTGTTTGCTATTGGTACAAGATCTGCCGACCAGACACCTTCTCATGTGATTAATGCCAAGCTTATCAGACGCTTTTTATTGGTCTAGATAATAGAGGCTAGAGAGGAAACGGGCTGGTCATGGAGGGGGATTCTTGTGATTTGAGGTGTTGATTGCTTTTGTGCGCGATCAATTCGTAAAACTGTAGTAAACAGTATTGCTTTGAATAGTTTCTAAATAGCTTGCAATAGATTTACATGTTAGTACAACGAGCCCTAAGAGATAATTATTTGTTTCTACTAATTTGGCTATTCAAGTAAGCATAAATTATAATTATATAGGATATAGAAATAGGTGATGTGAAAGTCTTAAATGAAGTTATAATTATTACTATTGATTCTACTTTTTCATTAGATAAAGAGAAGATAGACATAACCGAGACATGCGATTCATTTTCTCAAAAAGAATTCGTTATGAGTATAACCTCTAAAGACTCTACTCCAATAGCAACAGAACGATCAATCATTGTAAATAGCGAGCCATAATATCCTAAAGGTTTTAAACTCGTTATTATTATATTGGTATTATATTTGGCTATATTTTTGATAATATTGAATTAAACGATTATTTTGACTGTTATTCTAAAGATTATGGATCATTTTAAGAGTATGGGAGATATTGATTGATGAGTATGTTAATGTTGTATGTTAGATATTGTATTAATGTTTTAAGGTTTATATATATGAGTGATTGCTGATGTCTGTAGGTATGGATCGAGCTATTTACTTACGAAAGCGGCGTTGCAGCCTAGTTTTGGAAGGATAAGTCGGGTACCCTACTTTCGGGCCACCCCCCTTTTGGGCCACTTTTTACACCAAAAATGGAATTTTTAACTTTCTTATTTATGGATAGAATTCACTGAAAATTTATGTATATATAATTTAGATCATTTTTAGCTTACCTTGAAAATTTCAGATTTTTAGGAATTTTCTGTATTGAGATCTAGAGCTTTAAAATATCGATTTTTAAATTTATATAGAAATCACATACAAATTTAAAACTTTTATAAAATCTTTAATAACTTTTTAATAAAAATTATTAAAAAATAAACTATAAAATTTTATCATAAATTTATAACATATTTATTTTAAAGGATTTAGAAAAAAAAGAAAATTTCCTATAAATAGATACTTAAAAGAATACCCTCAAAATTACAGGGATTATTTATACTATTCTAAACTCACTATATACTATATCTCTATATTTATTAATTTTTTTTTAATTTTTTTTAATAATTTCTATATAAATTTAAATTCAAAACTTTCAAAAAGATATATAGTTTTCTTTTAATAGTTGTTATTAAAAGGTTATTAAAGATTTTATAAAAGTTTCAAATTTGTATATAATTCCTATATAAATTTAAAAATCAATATTTTAAAGCTTTAGATCTCAATATAGAAAATTCCTAAAATTTTCAAATTTTCAAAATAAGCTTAAAATGGCTTAAATTATATATATTTAAATTTTTATTATATTAGATTATATATTGATAGAGATATTAATAGGCTAAAAAAGCGATTTTTGGTGTAAAAGGGTGGCCCAAAACAGAAGTGGCCCGAAAGTAGGGTGGTCGACTTATACTCTATATTCAGTGTGCGTGAGCACTGCATTTCTCAATGGAAGAATCACTTGTTGGCTGACGAATCGGCAGATCAAATATACCTTCCTGACTGCCATTGCCATCTTCAAGCTTGGGTAAATAGTCAGCACATTTGCTTTCAGTCCTATGTGCTAATAGATCAATACAAAGCTCTTTGATTTGCGCCACAGTAATCAGCAGTAATATGCTTATTGTTGGCCGAGCCATAGCTAGAGCCAGCATCGGAGATCTGTTCACGGGTTCGATCATAATTGTTGTGTATAGTTGTAAGTTCTAGCTTACTATAGTCTCCTACTAATACAAGTGCTTTTTCCAAGACATACAAAACTGATTTGAGAAGTACCATTACACAAGAGACCGTTGGCAATGGGTATAATTAATAGTATGTAGGGAATAGCACTAGTCGCGGGATTATTACTTAATAATGTTTTTACATGAATCTCCCATTTATACAAAGAGTATTTACAAATCCACTGACACTTTTGAAAAGCAATAAACTCTTCTAACACTGGTGCTTCTATATCAAATAAGAATATCAACATCTGCCGTTTTAAATCCAGAATGTCAACAAATACCAACTAATTCACCCCTTCCTCAGCCTTCTTATTAGAACCTTTTGTGTCGCTGTAATATCTCTCATCCTTTATATCAACTATTCTAATAACCCTTCTTTCTTGACCCTCAAACAATGTATCTTAAAGCTCGACCTTCTTAGCGCCTTCCTTCTCATCCCCGTTATAATCTACCTACTGCTCCCTTTTCAATAAGGCGGTTCCACTTACACTTGAAATAGTGGTTATATTATCGGCCTTTTTGTTATCTTAGCTATTCTCACCCCTATATTCATCTGCATGCAAATCTGACTTGGTGAAGCCGGAACCCTTTCTCCATACCTTTTCCAAAATCGTAATATTGTATGTGTATTTGCATTTTTGGTATTCTTTGGCGCCGATTTTTTCAGTTTATCCTACTACCTTCCCGTATATTTCCAAAGTGTTAAAGGCTCCTTGGCCCTACATGTCGGAATCCAAATGCTCCTTTTACTTTTTGTATGCATAATGAGTTCCACTAGCACTGGGGCAGCGATATCCGCATTGGGGTACTACACTTCAGTCATGCTTATCTGCATGGTGTTATTCGCTATTGGTTCCGGACTATTAATCACGCTATTGGTCACTACATTGTATGCGTAGAACGCAGGATTCCAGGTTCTTACCGGTCTGGGTGTGGGCGTGGGGTTCGAGAGTGGGATTATTGTTGCGCAAATAATGATATCAAATAAGCGAATTTCAATGGCTATATCGTATGTTTTGTTGTTTATAATGCTAGATGGAGTAGTCTTTGTACCGGTTTCGCAAACACTATTTCAGAATAGATTGGTAAAGGGGATTGAGAAGAGGGTTTTGGGATTAGATGCAAGAGCGTTTTTAGATAGTAAGGTTATAGAAATTAGAATGCTATTGAAAACATAAGGGTAGAAAGGACAATTAGAAAAGGTATTGAAGGTGTATATAGAGGGGCTGAGGGCGATATTTTGGGTTTCAATGGTTTATGATATTGGGGAGCTTTTGGCTGTCTATGGATTGAAGTGGAAGAATATAAGGAAGGAGAAAAAGGAAGAGAGGAATTGATTTAGTAAGGTTGGAATAATAGGAATTTTATATGCTGTGATGAACGGGAAGTGGGTATATGAAATAAAAAAAGACGATCTACATGCTGTGAGGTGGTAAGCGTAAACAAAATTGATAGAATATAAATGACAAGATACTATGAATAAAAAACAGCTTGGAGTGTGTGGGTAACCATCAACAGCAAATTCCCCTTCTGATAATCCGTTGGATTTGTGCAAGTATCCTCTGAATATACCTTATTCAATCGGCTTGTACTCGACTACTAATGTCAACACTCGCAGAGAACACATTCGCAATTTCACTGGCCACTCGACTATATCTTTGCGATCCCGGCATGTTCACTTCGTGTTGTTCGCTAGACGAAATACGAGAAGGATTCCCTCCTCAAAATTACTTGCGCGGCTTTTATACCACTATAATAAAGCGCGCGGTGGTAGGTAGCCGGATTATATGGACAAATGTGACATTACATGGTGCAATCATGTTGCTTATGCTCAATGCTCAAAGTTTGTGTTGTTTTATCATGGCATGGAATAGCCAAATCAAGCCACTTTCTCAGCGTAGATTCTTTGATCTCAATGAAACCAGAAAAGATGAATTTCGCCCACGATATAACTGAAGCAGAGCCTATCGTAAGATTTTTTGATAGAGCCGATGAAATTATGCTGTGGAGGGCAGATGCGATGAAGTTGTGCTTGAAACAAAGAGGTATTGCTCCTTAGCTTCAGTTCTCCACGGAATGCTCTGCGTGCTCCAACATATGCGATCAAGAAGAATTTAACATAAGAAGGGGAACACAGTTTTATCCATTAGATATCCACTATCAGATATGGAATGGATACACTTCTTCTCCATCAACCTTTCTTCAAATGGGGGCAAGCCCCCAAACCCCCAGACCTCGCTGCGCTCGAAAAGACAAAGAAGGATTTTATGTGCTGTATTGAAAACGAAATAGATGTTGATTATGATGCTCTGTACAACTAATAACGCTTCCAAAAACGTCAAGGTCTGCGTTGCTTGAGCATCCATAGATGTACATAAGCTGTAGAGTTGACCTTGAAGATTTTTCTGCCAGAAAGCGGTGATCAGGCACGTGATAATGACCAACAGATCAATTTGTTGCATATCTGTAAAAAAGACAATTCAATTAACAACCATCTCCATGAATTTAGCGCCAAATTGAAAAAGTTCCATCGACTGGGAATAAGAACGATTGCTCAGAGTTATTTCCGGCGTAAATCCTTCGTGAATATTACCTGATAGCTAAGAAGACCTTGGATGCCAACACTCAAGACTGCATCCATCACCTTCCACGTTCTTTGAGGAGTTCCATGTCAAAACATCCTATTGAAAATAACCATATTTATCATGTACTATCTTCCTGCTGTAGTATCGACGTCCATTTTTCGATTGCGGCCGTGTCGCGTCATTTAAAGAGCTATTCGTAGCTTCACGACAATCTCAATATACAATTGCGAAAATGGCCGCCTGGAGACCTCTCGAAATTCTCAACTCTGCTGGCGCACATCTACCCCCTTTACTCATTTCATCCGAGTTCAACAACGATTCGTACCTAGTTCAACTGACCGATTTAACGAATACATGGGTTGAAAGTTCAGATCGCGATGCGATAATCGAACGAAGTAGAGAAGGGAATACAAGTATCGATCCAAGTGAGGACGAGGACCAGTTATCAATATTTCTCGAAAAGATTAGACTTGGTCTTGCAGGAGGAAATGATACAAGTCTATCGTTGCAAGTCGGACCGGACACTGGAGTTGAACTCTTACCAAGTCTACTTCTCCACATTACGATTCAACTACCTGGTGGATTGAAGGACTTAGAATGGCATTACGAATTGACCTCACAAACGCCGAAAGAAACAGTCGAAAAATTGCTTCTTCCAAGTTTGTTCGCGCTACAGGAAAAGAAAAAAGAGTTCGAGAAGCTAGTGGAGCTGTTGGAGGAGAAAGATGCGGTTATTCAAAAATTGGTGGATACATTGGAAAGTCAAGGGACCGATCTTGGTACAATATTCCACCAGGCTGCTGGAAGACCGGGAAAGAAAATTGACAGGAAGAAGGCGAGTGAGAAGATCCAAGGTTTGAAGATCTTCGACGCAGAAGCTTGGAAGCAGAAGTCAGGATCTGACACACCGGAAGATAAGTGGGAGTTATTGAGCAATGTCTTTAGGAGCAATGATATAAGTCCGGAATTCTCCAATGCGAATAGTATCAACAAAGAGGTTCAGAAACACAATTGGTGGGAGCATATGTATGGCAAGAGGGTAGGTACTTTAGGAAGCAAGATCGTAGCAAATGCAACGGATCCACCAAGAAGAAGTAGTCAACAAGAACATACACAACCCGAGGATGATTTTCAAGTACAATCAACACCACCTCACCTCTCGAGAACTAAGGCGAAGCCTGACGTTTCAATGGATGGTTCTACAGATGATGATGACGATGATCTCGATGCTCCATCCCAGCGTTCGAGAGTCCTAGATAATCTATCTATTTCGCAAGCTCGCGCACCAAGTCCCGATCGAACTCTAAGCCCAAGCCCAAGCCCACCAAAAGCGAGACCCCTTGTCGAATTGGGTACAAAACGCAAAGTTCCAACAGCAAATCCTCCAAGTCAAAACGCAGATGATACCACTGAAGATGACGAACCTATACCAGACAGCTTACATTCTACGAATGCAATTGATAATAGTGATAATGATAACGATGATGATACCACGGATGATGACGTTCAACCCTCTCCACCATCACAACGACAACAGGCTCCCAAAATTTCGCCAGCTAAGCAGAAAGGCAAGCTTGGGAAGATAGGCGGAAAGAAAGCTCCGTCGCCTTCTCTAGAAGCGGAGTCGGAGCCGGAGCCGGACCCAATTGTCGAACCTGAGGCTATTAAGGTACGACCTAAAAGAGGCATGCTCGGCAAAATCGGCGGAAAGAAAAAGGAGACAGCATCAATGCCCGAAATCGACTCTCAAAATTCGACGTCACCAAAGAAGAAGCTGGGTACGATCGGTGGGAAGAAGGTTACTACCGGGGGTGCTAGTCAGAGAGAAGATACCCCTGACGAAGTGAACAGAGGAAGGGGAAGAGGACTCACGACAGAGGAGGCAGAGAAATCGAAAGAAAAAACCCCACCACCAAGGGAGATTTCTGAGGAACGGGCTGATAGGAAGAGAGCAATTTTGAAGAAGGAATTGGAAGCAAAAAGTAAGGCGCCCGCTAAGAAGAAAAGGAAATTTTGAGGGGAGCACTCGTGGGTGGGTGGTGAAAATGTGTAATCATATAAGTATGTTCATCTACCCCATCTGCCCCATTTTGCACTTTCTGTACAGACCTTGCTTCTTGTCATTGACCTTTGCGCACATCATCTATGCCTCAATTATCTACAGCATCTCATCAGCCTCACCAGGTAGACGATAAGTCTCTCAATTTGAAGTTTCATTACACTCGTCTCCCTATCACATACTGAAAGCACTTTCTTTGTGTTTGTTGCACCCTTATAAAATTTATTCGAGCACAGTTTTCGTTTTTGATTACCAGTGCCTCTTGCTTCAAGTGATTTACGTTCCCTGATGCGCGGCCTCTGGTCCCTTCCTTCATGCACCAGATGTTACCCCTATCCTCATTAAGAATGTCACGATTGATTTAATCAATCTTTCTCTCTCAACAACTGAGCAAGACTCAAGATGATGGTTGCATATGTCAAGCACGGATCACATACTACCCATATTGTTGTCATATGGTTTTGTTGCATGTCTAGAGCACAGACCGCATTGTTGAAGAGTGGTTTGCATGGAGAGGAAAGGTTTGTCGCGTTGTGTCTTCTTCACAAACTCATGTGCTCGCCGTGTCGCAACACCTCTTTCGCCGCACTTGTTGGGCTGGTCTACTTTGGCAGTACATCTACACAGATAATTCACATGTTTACAGCCTTTGACACGTTTGTTTTGTTGCTCATCGCAAGCACAGACCGGGCTCTTGGAAGTAATGTGTGTGTAATGTAAAGATCTCTTGCTATATTTCGACGTGGTTCTGCGTTTTTCAGGATAGTATAGACGGGATGCGAGATTGGAGATTGGTCGATACTTACTTTGATCTGTAGACTATCGTCTCTTGCGCCTGTAGAATGATGAGTGATATAGATGCAATGGATATCGTCTTGTGCAACGGGTGGGTAGACAGAGCTACTTGTTAAGTAGGTACTTACTTGGAATGAAGGTACGCGATTGGACCTTGATATACCAATACAAGGTGAGCATTTTCGGATATCTTATATCAGCAATTGTAATCGAAATCAAGAGACGTTTAATAGATCGTCCTGGCTAGGCAGGTGTAGAGATGTCTGTCGATATGAGATGTGTAGGACGTGATAGTTTGTTCGTCTTGTAAATTACCTCAACCCCTTTTCCCCTCGAGCCAAATCCTGCGGTATCCATATTGTCTTTCTGTGATCAACACACACATTCTATATTATGAGGCAAAGAGAGATTGACCTTGCACCTCTACCAATCTTCTCAATCAAGGACCGCATTACCATGTTGGTATGGTGTGAATCTCGATATGATACTCGTCTATGCAATCGCGTACCGGTAAGTGTATCATCCTCCACACATACATACATAGATGTATATGCATTACTGTATGTAGTACGCTCATAAGGGTGAGACAAGCCTTCTGTCTATGTAGATGTACGTATATATTTATTGCATCCAACTAATCCAATGTTGACGAAGTGATTAGTTTCACTGTTGAGAATGCTTAAATGCCTATGTGTATTTGGTAATTCATGTGGTAGATACTTGGATACTTGGATATGGATACTTGGATGTGGATACTTGGATGTAGATACTTGGATACTTAGACTTAGATACTTAGATACTTAGACTTAGATACTTAGACTTAGTTACTTACACCCTTAGACCGATCAACAGTAAGCAAGAAAAGAAGCCGGTCACCCATCAAAGAAAATCCCCCATCACGATGATACATTTACAGACATGCAACAAAAGAATTCTCTCTCTCCTTGTCCTGTTTTATTCTTCGCATGTGGCTGGCATTTGTTGCACATCTAGAAAATCTGCATCGCGATCTTGATTCTGGTGGTCATATTCTTTCGATGTATGTAGATACGTAATAGCTACCGTTTACCTACATGACTACCCCCCTCCAAACACCCCAGGCGAATTCTCGATGCAGCGCATTTCTTTCAGATCTTCTTTGTCGAAAAGGCGGTATGCCAAGGAGTGAGTGAGGGAAGCGAGGATCGAAAAAATATTTTTGGTTGGGGGAACTGGTGGGAAGAAAGAAAGAAAGAAAGAAGGAGGAGGGTGATTAGTCAGCAGTGGGGGGGAAGGGTGTGCATGGTGCATCGCGATTTAACGGAGTAGGTAGGGTAGGTAGGGTAGGTAGGGTAGGTAGGGTAGGTAGGATAGGTTACCTAGGTATCAGAATCTAGATGGATGGATGGGTGGGTGAGAGATGAGGTTTTGGATGTTGATTTTGGTAAGATGATAGCTACTATATTTCCCGGGCACATTGTGAAAAAAATCTGGGAAATGGATTATGGGGAGGGCAAAAGATTAGGTTTTGTTGCATATCTGACATCGTCGATGCAAGAGGAATTGTTTGATGAGGGTGAGGGAGTGATTGATCGTGATGGTGTCATAATGTCATTGGATTTATTTTCTACCGGGTATTCACTTTCATCGTACGATATGATGAGGGCTGAGGGCTGAGGGCTGAGGGCTGGATGGAGGATGGATGGATGGATGGATGGATGGATGGAGATGGATGGATGGATGGATGGATATATAGATGTATAAATGTATGAATATATGAACGAATGAACGTATGAATGTATGAATGTATGAATGATAATGGGGAGATGCGATGCGATGCGATGCGATGCGATGAGATGAGATGCACTGAGATGGATGGATGCCGATGACGCTGGTGGTTGGAAGATGGGATTAATAATTGATCATTGATTCATTGATGCCTGCCTGCCTGATCTGGTCGATGAATTAATTATGTTGGGGTAACCACTTTGGAGGGACAACGAACATCGAACATCGAACATCGAACATCGAACATCGAGATTGAGGGAGGGAAAGACGGATGGATCGATTCGATGGGGCGATGCTTTTTCGATGGTTGCTTTGCTTTGGCTTGCTTTCGCTTGTGGGTGGATCGGGTCACGGGAATGGAAATGGGAATGGGAATGGGAATGGGAATGGTCATGAGGGATGGGGTCACGGGGTCTGTGGTTTATGGTGTGTGTGTGGAGGGTGGAGGTCGGTCGGTCGGTAGGTATGGTTTTGAATATGAACATGGACATGGACATCGACTTCATTATCAATTCATCGTAAAATCGTCAGTTGTGGTGATTTATGAATTGTTTCAAGGGGATTGAGGGTCGTATTGATTGATTTGATTCTGTTGGGTAATGTCTAGGTACCCAAGTACTCTTACATGCCTATGCTGATGAGAATGAATCGGCGATTACGATTTGGTCGTGTCGGTACCTATGTATTATGGATATTTGAATTAAAATACGATACTTAGATACATCGGTATATGCTCTCTCTTTCTGCTCTTTCTTCTTCTTCTTCTTCTTCTTCTTCTTCTTCTTCTCCTTCTCCTTCTCCTTCTCCTTTTATATCATGTCTGTACCTTCCTTCCTCTCTACCTTGCTTTATATACTCTATATATATCTTTCTTTCTCAATATAATACATATATATATATGTATAAAACATTCACCCTTCTTTCTACATCCTCAAAATGTTGCTCATCTCACTATTCACCGCCTCGTCGTTCTTTCTAAAACACCACAAGTTTTTGGGTTGCATCTCGCAGGATTCACCTTGTTCTTCTATACATAGGCACCTAGTACTTCCATATACACAGGCACCTAGTACACCCATACCTACATACATACATATTCCAAGGTTATTGACATCAATCCGGGAACAGGTCTATACCATTTGGTTGCAGATCTTCAACAACCCCCTTGAGATCTTGGTGTATGTATGAATGAAGTAGGTACCTGAGTAGGTATACTTCATTCCTATTCATTTTTTGATATACACCCAGGTGTCTATCTACCTCATTAGGTATGGAACTTTTCGGTTGAATATCTCAGCATTCACCTTTCCTGCTTGCTTGCTAGAGGAGATCTAGATGTGAATGTACGGTTTGAGATGGAGCAGATCGCGTTTGTTGCATATCGTATTTGATTCACCTGTGTCTCTCGTCACTTATCAAGTCAGTCATACGAATAGAATAGATAGCTAGGTAGCTAGATCTCCCTGATTTCTCTCCTCTTCTACATCACCATGGTTTATCTTCATATATTTTATGATTCATTGAATCATTATCGAGTCAACACGCATGCATCATTCAAGAAAAGAGATGTTTTCCACAATACATCATATATCATATATTTATAACATTCTTGTAATCTTACAACCGATTATCACACCTCATCTCTATTCCTAGATGTCACTATACTTGATCGCATATCTTGCTACCTACTTACTTGCCGACCCAAGTTCCAGCTTCCTCTCTTCTTACGCCAATACCTATGTACCCACACACTTTTCGAAGCGCCAGATCTTGTGTCGCATATCGCATATTATTCACCTCCATTTTCTCGTCATCAATCCTTGCAGCTAGAATATACAGAGGAGAAAATATTTTGTTGCATATCTCTACATCCACCTTGTATAGCACATGAATTCTGAGTCTTCTTTCTATATATATCCACCATTGAAGGAGATATGTATCTTTCTGTTGCATGTCGTATGTCATTCACCTATCTTGAAATTCATAAATACATTTGAGGAGAGGATCGAAAATGCCTTGTTGCATATCTATACATTCACCTTGGTGTATCTGTCGTATAGGTCTGAGTTTATTCATTACATATAAATCCCACAATGACGAAAAGATATATCAACATGTTACATATAATATGAATTCATTTATATCTATTTGTATTTACTAGTATATAGATATAAATAGAATATCAAAAAGTATCATATCATATACAGTCACTGTGTACTACTACTTGTTACGGGAGCTGCCTCTAGGGTCACGTGGAAGTGGCTAGAGATCTCTCGAGGTGGTTTAGACTAGACTTCAAGTAGGAATTCAATAAGGTTGTAACTGGTTGCAATTCTCGTAACTATAGTAATGAAACTAATGATTGTTCTTGAGCACGAAGCTCTACATTGTAATGAAATCTGTTCTCTTATATAGACCTTCCTGCTCTGCAGAACCTACAGTTCTGTCTTGTCTGGATCCTCTGGATCCTATGGATCTAGATGTTTATTCTTCGATCCCCTAGATCCTCTAGGTACATCACGTGACTTCCTGACCATGTGACGCGGTATATTGGATGCCGTCGTAACAATTATATAAACTAAGATTAATAAACTTATCAAGTTCTATTAATATTATTAAAAGTATAAAAAATTATTGGATTGATTTAAATTCAATTTACGAGATAATTGTTGGGACAGTGATCATGTGACTACGCTAGCGTTGGCGCTAGCGTCTTCCGACACTACAGCAATACATTTCATAGCCCTAGCTTTTAGAACCTCAAGTAATATAACAACAATATAAACCATAGTACTATATTAACTTTATTATTCCTATAATAATATCAACACTAATTAGTAATATTATAGATCAAAAGCCTAACACCTTAATTTTAATTGTAATATATAGTTTGAATCAAGATTAATATTTCTTTAAAGAGGTACAAACTCTTATATTATTTTAATATAATTTAATATCTATCTTTATATGAATAAAAACGGTTGGCAATATAGTGATAGCTTTTATATTAACTTTAATTTACATCTTATTCTTTATTACAATATATATTAAAGAGTAAGAATTAATAGTATTCAGTTCAAACTTAATATTATACTTTTCGAACTCAAGCTTTGCTATATCTTGACAGAATTAATATTTCATTATCTACTTATCATTTATCAAATATGACAAAATCATTTGTAGATTCTCCCATATCTTAAAAACATTGTATTGAAAATATTAAATATCTAGCCCTAAAATAACTCAACAATATCAAATCTATCAAATCCATTATTGAATCTTTAATTTTATTAAAGATTATACTTGATAATTATAAATTGATAATGAATAAATAGGAAAATTATTCTTTTAATATTAATTATACGAATAAAAGGGAAATATAAGATTTCTGTAAATATAAATTATATAAATACAAATTCAATAACTTTTATAATGAAAAGTTATAATTGAATTATATTATAAGTTTTAAGGACTTTAAATTAGAGTATTTTCTATCCACTAGAATACAATTATTATATAAGTTATGATACAAACTTTGTATATATGGATTATTTATTATAAAATATGTAATCTATTTGAAGTAAATAATTAATAAAATATTAATCGATATATAATTCATAATATTTTAATAATAATTAGATCCTGAAATTATAAATATTTTTTAAAAAAAAGAATTTCAGTTTTAATTATTAAATATATTTAAAAGAATTATAAAAAGGTTGAAAGTATTACTAATTATTTTCAAAATAATTAAGATAAAAGATTCAATTAGATAAATTATTTATAATTAAAATAAACTTCTGTAACTTTTAAATATTATATCTAAGTTATTAGGTATCAATCTATATCGATATAATAATAAGGATAAAGATATCGAGAAGTATAAACTATATATCCCTTTTCCATTAAAATTATTATTATAATAGCAAATATTAATAATTTAAGATTATATTATTAATCTTCTTATTAATTTATTATTTATAAAAAAGTATTATAGTTTAATAAAATCAATATTTATTTGATTTATTTAACAATTTAATATTAAGGCTATCCCGATACCATTATAATTATGCTCTTAATTTAATCTTCGAAATCTTGATTAAAAGTAATTGAAATCAATTCCAACAAAGGTATGAACATTTTATTAGTTTGGTAATAATATAGTCCTGTAATAACGAATTAAATAATTAATTAATAATTCACCTAATAATAATAATGATATAAGTAAGGGAAAAGGAAATAATAAAGGTAGAAAAAACAATATTCCAAATTGAGGTTGATATTACAAAAATGAAAAAGGAAATGATCTAGAAGGTACTGATATTATTTAAAATACTTTATTTTTTTAAAGATCTATAAATATTAATTAGCTTTTAGATAACTTTATGAAACTTTATAATAAAGTCGATAAATATAATAGTTAAAATAATAATTTTGCTTATAAATTCTTGATCTTTTTTAATAATTATAAATGTATTAATATATTTATATTACTATTAAAGAATGTATTTCCTATTATACTTATTGATATTATACTCGACTTTTATTATACAAATTTAAACAACTTATTTAATATAATAACTAAAATTTATAATTTAATAATATTTATATTTAAAAGTTCAAAATATAAGTGTAATCTTATATAATAATAATAAATCATTATATTTAAAAGTGTAATGGTAGAATTAGATAATAAAGGGAAGATAATGCTTTAATGCCTACAATTTATAGTCACGGAACTTCATCATATATATAAAGAATTTAGCTTTATAATAAGAATAAAAGAATTATTTTATTAAAAGATTATTATTATATACACTCCAGTACAAATATGCTTTTTAACTTGTTTTTACCCTATTAAAGATATTCTAAATCTTTTAAAGGAATTA